TCTCTCTCTCTCTCTCTCTCTCTCTCTCTCTCTCTCTCTCTCTCTCTCGTTGTCTACTTTGTTTTCCATCCTTCCCTCAGAGATGGCTGACATCCTGAGCTACTTTGTTGCCTACTGTCTCTCTGCCAATCTCATTCTCAACCAATCCTTCTAGACTCAATTTGGCAACAACTTCCTTGTGCAAGGTCAAGTCTAATTCCAGTCCAGATATGTCACTCGAACTTGATCTCACATCCTGAAAACCCTCTTGGTTCTGGTCAGGGCCTATTCTTTGGAAGCAGCTGGTTACCATCCCCTCAGTTACATCGCTTTCCCCATAGACCTACCCACAGAAGGGGTAGAGGGGAATTCCTCCCTGAAGATAGACTTCCCTTCCATATTCTACTTCCCTCTTTGGCTTCAGACAAGTCCATACATCTCTGGCTCTCTTGGGACACATTTCAAAGCATTGAGGGAAAGGTTTACTCTAAGTCATCTTACAACAGGAAGACATTATTTGAATGCACTCATTTTCCTAGATTTTAATCATTCTTACGAGCAAATGCTGAAATAAATATATGAAAATTATTTAAAACACTGTGTCATATTTTTGCCTCCAGAAATCTTGCAAAAAAAAAGCTTTGTGGTAGAGATTTTTAGGCAGAAATGTTTTCCTACGTAGGGTACCCAGAACTCAGCTCAGTAAGATGTTGCAAGGAATGTGTGGCTTGAATTCAGCTGAGACCAACAGGCAGTGTGGTCTCTGCAAAGTCTGTGGTTATTTGTATGTAAAAAGAAACCTCATGGCTGTCTTCTTCGACCTCCACTGCTACCGTCATCCTACACCTCAGCTCTGGACTACACACAGCAGCGCTGCCCAGCTTTACTGTAAACTGCTGAACCCTGGACCCCACAGTGCCACCTTGGAAGCTCAGTCTTTTAGCTTCCCTAAGCCCTTGTCCAACTCATACCCTTCCAAAATACCACACGCTTCAATGCCACACTCCCAGGTAGGAGGTGTTGCAGAATGGCAATCTGAGCAGGACTGAAGGAAGACTTAGCACCCTGGCTCACCGGAATCACAGCTAAAACTTACTTTGTATAGAACTCAAAGTGAGCCCTGAAAGTGAAAGGCAACACCTTCAGGCCAAGTTTCCCAGGGAGGCTCTGTTAGCCTGTTGGGTCAGCCAGCTCCCTGTGATGAGGGGCTGCCCTTATCAAGTCTTGGTAGGTACCATCTCTGGCACTGCCTACTCAATATCATGGTAAGAAGACCTTCGTGCACTTCCGCACGGGCGGCACAGAAACCACAGCAGTGAAGGAAATACCTTGTTTCCTTAAGTAGAAGAGGACTGTGGCTGCAACAAGGAGCAACAGGAATGATCCCAGAAGGACCCAATGAGTCCTCTTATTTGGGAGAAATTCTGCAGGTGGAGCTGAAAAACAAAATCAAAAGATGCCGACTAAAGATAAAGTTTTGATGGGAAATAGTCAGGAGAATGGTCATTCTTGAAACCTAGCTTGGTTTTAGGGTAATCTTAATTACTAAAAGATAATGGCCAGTTAAGGTCTGGGAGGACGAGATGGGTCTCCCAAGGAACTGGGAGAAGCACAGAGAAGTAAGAACTCCAGCCTTGCACACATGAAACAGACTGAATTCTAGGGCTGCAGATTGGCTTTGGAAACGCCAACATCCTTTAACCAGCCTATAAAAGGGAAATGCTACGAATTTCCTGTGAGGCTGTCTGTGACATGTTTAGTGCAGTGCCACAGAAAGTGACTGCAATAGTAAATGGTGACCTCAGTGAAGAAAGTTCCTTGTGCACCCTTTAATATACATGCTATCAGCCAACGTGGCATGGAAGGCCCACTCTAGAACATGGCAGACCACTGGGCACTGCTCAACGGCTTCTACCTCCCACACCTGTGGGCATGATGGGGGACCAATGCATGGTTTTTCTTCTTCCATGTTTGAAACTCTCTGAACATTCTAGTTACTGGCTTTTCTTGCCAGTGTCTCTGTCTAAGTTTTGTGAAAGATGGGTCTCATGGCACAAGGATGCTTTGGGATTGCCAACTCCCATCTCTTGCCATAAGTCAGTTCCTATTTGCCCCACTAGGAGTCAACTGAGGTCCACAATACTTAACTACACAGTTTAGAAAGCCTGTTCACATATATTTGATTTGCATTTTGAAATAACGTTATGTTAGACCTACCAAATATTTCTTTAAAAAAAAAGAACAAACCCAAGTTACAGACCAGAAGACAGAGTGGCTAAGTAAGTTACTCCAGGATGCCCCACGAATAAATAGCCATAAAACCACGGCTTTTTGTGGTTTTATTATGATGACGCTTGTTTTGCTTTTGAGACAGAATCTCTTGTAGTTAATGCTGGCCTTGAACTTGCTATGTAGGTGAGGATGACTTTGAACTTCTGATCCTCTTGCTTCCACCACCCAAGTGTTTGGATTACAGGTGAGCCCTACATCACCAGGTTTACATGGTGCTGGATCTCAGCTCTTTGTGGATGTTAGACTAGTGCTCTTCCAACTGAGCTCCAGCTCCAGCCTCACAGAAGAGCATTTAATGACAGGGAGCCAGTAACGCAGCTTTTATGAGAGAGTCCAATTCCAGTTAGAATGTCTTCTTTGTTTTCTAAGCTGGTTTGCTCTTTCTGGTTCCAAGCCCATCCTGGGCTGAATTTTCGTATTAGTTGACTTTTCTATGAAGTTTTATTTATTTTCTCTAAACTTCCTTGATGTACATTGGGGGATAGATGGAGGCTAAAGTAACTCTCCCTAGAATACCTATGGATTTACATCCTCATGATGCTCTGAGCCTTTCACCTGACTGTCTTCCATCCCACCTCTTTCTGTAAGGTAACATGTTTAAAAAGCAGCTGAACTTATGCAGGCAAGGATCTCAAATAACTTTCATATACTACAGCTCATTTTATCCCTACAATACCCTTGCCCGGTGAGTTATAACCCTTACAGGGAAGGTGAACTACGCAGAAATCTAGTAGGTTGCCAAGAGACATCAGCCTCATGTTCTATGCACAAGGCAGACTTCCTGGAGTTGAAACATCAGAGAATGCCTTAAGGAGGAATATAGGGGGAAAGGATCCTTCATGTTGAAAGAGAGAGAGGGACAATGCATTTGCTTCCTACTGCAGGAGCCCTGGAGAGAAGAGGGCAGCCCCACTGTGACAAGGTTTCAATTCCTGAAGCATAAGCTGAGTCCTTCTCTCATGTTCTGCATGGTGCCCCAGCTACAAGAGTGTTTCCTACATGCAACTGTCACCTGTTCTCCTGGAGCACAGTGACTTTTGTCCAACCCATCTATGAATATTCAATGCCTAACATGCAGTTTGTCATGGGTAAATACTCAATGTTAATACTAAGTGTTAAGTAGCATTATGGCTTGCATGCAAGAAAATGAGGAAATAGCATAAATTTAGTAAACATAGTGTTGTTTATTCATGCCCTCAGCCAGACCACCGAATGACTGTGATTGACAGCCATCATGCTAGGAGACAAGGGACAGAGTTAAGCAGTTTACCTGGGATGATCAACTCAGCTGTGTGGTTTTTCTCTGATTGTGATCTCCAAAAAGTACAGTAGAAAACATCATTAGCTGTTGCGTTGATCCTCAGAGTGCTGGTCACATTGAAAAGCTTGTCCTCTGACTGGGAACTGGTGACAGTAATCTTGCCACTCAAGGACTGGTGGTTACTGTTTGTCCAGATGACTTCAGCTTCTGGGTAGCCCTCAGCCTGACATGTTAGTTCGTGCTCGGACGTGGCTGGATTCGTGGAAATTCTGTGGTTGATTTTGTGGTACGGGGCTAGGTCATAAGGAAAAAGAGGTCAAGGCTCTCTCCCATTGCAGGTGTTGTCTGCTTACAAAGAATATCAACTTGGGCCAGTTCTTCTAGAACTGTGCCTCCAGCTTAGCTATTTTGGCAGCAGGGAGTGTGTGCTAGTCTGCCTCAGGTCTTCTACTCAAAATCTCGGCCAAGTTGGGACTTAAGGCACAATCTCACATTGCTGTAATAACCACACTGGGGTGTTTATTGTGCTCAGAATAAATGTATCAACTAAATAGACTGTCATCTTGAAACCACAGGTCTTTCTATCTACATATAAACTATATCTATTTAGTCAATAATCACAATGTTTTAGATAATTGCTTAGAGCCTAGAAGGGAGACTTTGCTCCCTACTCCACAGCCAAAGACATAATAAGAGCTTTATAATATGGTATTTTCGCAGAAATTTGACACAGAGCAGCTAGAATAAAGCAAAGCTGAAATAATGACATGATGTTTTGTTGCCTTTGAATCAAGAAAATGGCCACCAATAAAATAGGTACAATTATGATTTATTTCAAAACACAAAAGTGAGGTCTTTTATGAGCATTTGAGCCCTCAGTCTTGTATTTATCATATTTAAGAACAATTGAAAATGAAACCACTGATTATACCTTATTAAATGGGCACGCCATGAAATAATGTCACCACACTAGGGTCTACCTCACATGGTACATGACTTAATATTTCTGGGAAATTCAAGGTTTACATTTAAAATCACTGTCAATGATAAGACATTTGGAGTGAATTATTTGCTTTCTGTTATTATTTTTCCTGGGAATTAAATGAAGGAGAAGAGTGCTTCACCTAGAAGACCGTGCTGGACCAATGAGTGGATCCATCCACAATTGATTAACCTCCGCATCATTCGCCTACCTCTAAGATGGGCACATGCAGGAAGACGCAGAAAGGAAACATTAGAACTTGTACTAACATGTTTGCTATAGTACCTGTTAAATTATTTATGCCTCACAAATGTTGATGGCAGTCACTGTACCTCACTGTCTGCCACAGGAAGGGGGAGGGTGTTGATTCATATTTGGGCTATATGGATTTTTCAAATTCTCCTATCTATTTTGTTGTTGTTGTTTTTGAGAAAGAGTTTCATGTAGACCAGGCTAGCCTTGAACTTGCTATGTATCCAAAGATAACCTGTCTCTACCTCCTGAGTACTGGAATTCCAGGCAAGTGTGTGCCATCATACCTTATTTTAAAGCAGAAATGTATGCATGGCAGGCAAGCACTCTACCAGTTGAGCTATAGGCCCACCCCCTTGTCTACTTTTAATTGAACTAACCTTTAAAAATGAGCCCATTCAAGTCTCTTTAAAGAAATGAAGGCTTGAAGATAAGGCTAACACAAAGCAAAACAAACAAACAAAAATTCAGCACAAAGCAAAACAAAATGTCAGCAGTGACTTTACCAGCCACTTTCTGAAGTTAAAAACAAATACTGAGTTGGCTATGATAAAGCATTGGCTAAAATAAGCTTCAAGATTATTGAGAACATCTCCATTTGTTAATGATGAATTTCGTCATGGCATACACCAATGCTGCCACAATTGGCAAGACATTACAAATATTGCTTATTCCATTTACCTTTCCTTTTGGATGTCTATGTTTTCCATTTCAAGAATGTATTGTGGGTTAGGTTGAACCAATGGTATGAAATCAGTGACAGTTATCTTCTTTTGATCTTCAAAATGACAATTTCTTATGATATAAGCTATGTATTGGTATCAAAATTATTCTTTATAATCACATACAAGTTTATAGCGCTTTACAGAAAGGGTAGACAAGCAAGTTTTGCTTTGTGTGCCTTGAAACCTCCAGTTTAGATCTAGAACACTTTGCTCCCTAGTTCAAGACTAAGAAAAGTTCAGGCTCAATGCACACTCCAGAAAAACAAAGATAGGCAACAAAACATGGTTAGTAAGGGCATAGATTTTAGAACCAGGCTAGTTAGGTTTAGAACCTGGCTTTATAATTTTAGCTGGGTAGAATTTGGGCAAGCTGCATTTCTTTGGACCTCAATTTTTAAAACTTTAAAATGGGAAGAATAATGCTGCATATCATTGAATATAAGATGCCATCTATTGAAAGGCACATTCAGATTTGAAAGATAGTAAGTAGGAAAAAAAATAGCCTGGCCATGATCAAGTGCCTCCCCAACAGAGTCATTTAAAGACTAAATGAATTCATATAGCCCAGTGCATGGCCTAAAACATATTAGGAGTTGCATAAGTGTTAGCTATGACAACGTTCCTATTGTCACTGGTCAGACTAGGAGGACCGTGAGCACAGCTGTTTCTCCCCCTTTTTGTCGGTACTTCCTTCAGTGGATTTTAAGAAAGTTCTCACATCTCATGACAAACAGTCTTGGAAATAAATTTTCCCATATTCGATCCTGTTCATATAGCAAACATCTTAAGGTAAACATTTATGAAACAACCAGTCATTCCTTCAACAAATATTTTCTTTTTTTATTGCACTGAAACATCATTATATTCCAAGGCCTGGGGTACAACAATCAATAAAACAGACCCAAACCTCCGTGCCTACGGTTTATGTTCAAGAAGAAGGAAGGAGACAATAAACTTGATATCGTGAGACATTTTAGATGGGAACAGATGACATAGAATTGATTTAAACAGGGCCTGGGGATCTGGTGGGCCATGACAGTCCTTAATCATTTATCTATAGGATTAAAGTGTTTCTTACAGCTGCTTAATATCATTTAAGGTCCCAGAAATATTAAATGGCATTTCATTTTCTCTGATATTAAATTTGGTAATTAAAGCTAAAGATTTTTCAATTGAAAGCCAGATGCCTGAGGGTCTTCTGTAACCTTTTGAAAGTATAATAGCATCCAAAGAGATAATGGTAATTGAGTTAATACAAAACTACACCCTGTAAGATTTCAGTTTTGAAATGCTTCACCTTTAAAATCCCACAGTGAGTGAACTCCCTCCTGGGAAGCTTCATTACCACACTCCTGCAGTGATGGGAAGAGAAATGGGGCAGCATTGCTGTGAAATCATTTGCATAGGGCATGACTCAGGAGTTCTACTTCCTCTGCACATAAAGCTCCTAAATGCCGGCCACCAAGGTGCCAGGGACTGAACCGCGGGTCCTACACCTGCTGGGCAGGTGTTCTGCCACTGAGCTATGGCCTCAGTCCTGTTCCTATTTTTAATTTTTTTTTTTGAGACAGGATCCTGCTAGGTTGCCCAGGCTACCCTTGAACAAGCTATATATAGCCCAGACAAGGCCCTAGTTTGTGATTCTCCTGCCTCAGCCTCCCAAATAGCTGGGATTACAGATTGGAGCCACAACACCCATCAAAGTCAAGGCTCAAATCCTTGGTCTAGCTCAGCTAAGCTCCCAAAGCACTGACTGCATGCAAATGACAAGATTAATTGGGAGTAGAATGCCAGCGTAGTAAGGTCTAAAGAAAACAAAGTAGTCAAACAAGTAGACCTTCAAGTCTGCTTGGCTATCAGCTTTGCCCCATCAGGGATCCCTCCATGGAGAATCCATCAGTTGTTCCAAAAGGTTCTTTTGCATCAGAGATATTGTGGAGCAGATAATGTAGACTACATTCTTCCTCACCACAAAGTCAGCTACTCTCAACAAGCCACAAGAGACCTCTGGGCACAGAGACTTAAACTCCATGTTTCCTTCTTCCTGATTGCAGGATTGTTCTTTCCCCTATCCCAGGTTCAGCAGCCTTGACTGTTCATGGCCTTCAGGCTTCATAATTCTTTTAAATGTCTTAGAACAGAATAGATGACTTTAGTACATTTGCTGATGTACTAACACATGCTCATATGAACAACCACCTCCAATCTTCCATGAATGTCACAAATGAAGAATTATAAGTAAAAGACAATAAAAATAAAGCCTATAAGACAAGTGATATTTTCAAAACAATGGTAGCTTTAAGTGATCCAGCATCAGAAACCCATTAATATACTATCAAATGGACACATTTTTTTCTAACCTGTACATAATTTTTTAGGTAATAGTTATCTTGATCCCTTATGAGAAATGTGAACTTTTCCTATTTCTAATATTGACCTTCACACTAGCTTAGGAATACAAAGATCAAAGGAGATTATCTAATTCTAGTCAAATATTTAAACACATATTATGAAACCAAAAAACAGCAGCAGATCATCTCAAATGTAAGCCTGGGGAAGATGGAATTCATCTCACTATCAACCAGGGAGAGGTTTCAGCAGACCACAGAAGGGGATTCCAAAGCAGAGGGATGTCGCTTTGGAAAGTATGTGCAGACAGGAGCCTTGGGGGATTTCTGGTCCTGGCAGGCATTTGGATTGTCTGTGAGCACGCTTGGGATGTGTGTGCCTCTCACTTCTGTGAAGTCCACAGTGAAAGCAGGGGTGGTTGTTCAGGTGTTTTCCTTCCCTTAGCTGCTTCCAACCCAAAACCTTGAACTCAAGTGACCTGATGACATTTTTTGTGGGTCCTTCTCCAGGAATTTACACTAGTTGTTCCTCCTCAACCCTCCCAAGTAACATGATACAGGCCCTGAAGATGAATATATGCCTGGTGAGTGTAGTTTATACCATCTCTGTGGAAAAATGGCTTCTTCTATACTTCACATCATCATTTTTTTCATCCTTTATAGATTAACCTTGTCTTTTTGAATGTGAACCTTAGAGTGGGCTGTATGTATATATGTATGTATATACATATATATTGGATTTTGTATGGAGATACTCATAAGAAGGAAATGTGCTAAGCCTGATAGAATTTAAAAAAAAAAAAAAACCAATCCAATAAAAAGGTTCTAGAGAGATACACAGTATATGCATGCCATGGATGATGGTGCTGAAGAGAGGAGGAACAGTATTATGATTCTATTCCTTTCCATGAGATCCAAATCTCTTGTAAGTATATATATATATATTGTATATTGCATTTACAATAATAAGAAGCAAATTCTTGGCATTTAATTTTTGAAAGCTTACAGTACCACAGAGCACAACTGTGTATTATCTGGTACTGGATCTCAAGTTACTTTCAGACACAAGGGGCTAGGAGTATTTATTTGGAGGAGTATATGAATGAATAAAAGAAAGAAAGAAAAAAAGAAAGAAAGAAAGAAAGAAAGAAAGAAAGGAAGGAAGAAAGAAAGAAAGAAAGAAAAAATAACGAACCAACAGGCTGCTATTGTTCCACAAAAAGCAGGTGTGGACTTCCAAGAATGAAAAGCTCTCAGCATTACAGAGATGTCTCAAGTATAGGCCAAGACTTCCTTACCCAGAGTAATGCTTACCATTGACTTTCAGCGTGATTCGCTTGTAGTCTGCTCCACCATAGCTGATCATGCAGCAGTAAACCCCTGCATCCTGCAGTTTCACATCTGTGATCTGAAGCCCAGCAATTCCCTGGAGAAGCTGCTCCTTTGGCAGCCGGGCTCTCCCTGTGAAGCTATTGTGCTGAAACCTCAGGTCCGCCATTCCATCCACAAACTGAATAACTTGTTTATCGTCCTTTTCCCAGTAGACAACTAAGGAAAACAGGTCCAGCTGGTCTCCTACTGGGAATCTGCATTCGATCGTGACATTGCTGCCATACTCTACCACATACAAGTCCTTGGGAGCTGTGATGGTAAATGCTGGAAAGAAAGAGGACCAGACTTCAGAAGACGGAAAAGTCCTCCAAACACATTTGAAAAATGGGCAAAAGGTTACAATCACTTCATCTGGTGAGTCACATCAACACTAAAATTCTTCTTTAACATTTTTTCATTGGGAAGAACATAAGCAACTGAGATAGTATATTCCCAGCCTTGTCTAGAAGAAACCAGTATTAGCAGTGGGCCATTTTCCCGGGAATTTTCAGCTGTTATTTATGGGAAATGGACACTCCGTTAATTTTGTATTATCTGTATTTTTGTATTCACCTCCTCCCCCTTTTTTTGTTTGCTTTTGTTTGTTTCCAGTGCTGGGATATTGAATCCAGAGCTTTGTTCATGCCAGGCAAGTGTTCCACTACTAAACTGCACCCAGGGCTCCTGTCTTTTTCTCCATCTTTTACAATGATGGAAGTCACTTGTTTATGAAGAAGGAAAACTAGAGTGTGCTTTTAATAAGCAAAGTATACGCCTTTAAAGTGTTTTAGGGCCCTGGGTGATCACCCAGTAAGAAAACTACTTGCTGTACAACAGGAGGACCTAAATTCAAATCCCAGGACCTATGTGAAAACCAGCTACAGTAGCACGTGCCTGCAATCTCAGTCTCACGGCTCCTGTAGTGGGATGGGAGTTAGAGACAGGAGGATCCCAGGAGGTGTGGGGTCAGTGCCTGCAATACTCAGCAATGAACAACAAATAAGAGAACTTGTCTCAAACAAGGTAGAAGGTGAGGACCAACACTCAAGGTTGTCCTTTGACCTCCACATACATGCCTAGCAAATGCATGCGATCATACCTGCATACACACACACACACACACACACACACACACACATGCACACACACACACATACACACACACACATGCACATACACACACACACATATGCGCGTGCGCATGTTACTTTAATTTTTAACTCATGGTTAAAATATTGAAAATACAGAACCCACTGAAAAGATTTGACTTACCATTTAGCAAGCCACAGCAGACTGTGAATGTAACAATGATAGATGTCCTCATGTTTCTGGAATTATCTAGAAACAGGAAACACAGAAAGTGTAGGGCTTAATTCACATAGCTGAACAATGGGACACCGGTAAATTTGTTCCTCTCGTATATAAATAACTCCGAAGAGCCGGCACGGAAACACAGACAAACTAGCTGTAACTGAAGCAGTTCTGTTTCGTAAGTGTGGAAACACAGCTGTTTTCACACAGAGTTGAAAGTTCAGTACTTTCATTTTGTAACTCCAAGTTATACAGAACCAAGTAAAGAGAAATTGGTGTGACGAGATGAACATCTTTAAATGGAGTTATTAGCCCCCTCAAATCGATAATGTACCTTCAAAATAAGCCAAGGGAAAAAACATACCTTCGACTCCCCCAGGTGCACCACGGGCTTTTCACCATTGGGAAGTATCTGTAAAACCTGCCTTAGGTAAAGCTTCAAAGCAAAGAGTATCTGATTTTCACTTTCACTTTTCAATGCTTCCTCTCCCTTAAAGTCTCCCCTCTGCCTGTCACCTCCTTCAAATTATAACTCTTTTCCCCAATAAAGAGAGTATGCTGATAACGGGAGTGGGAAGGGAGGAGGATTCAATTTGGCCCATTTCCTAAGGTCTGGCCTCTCAGCACCACCCTCTGAGTTATAGCCATCTGGGTCCTAGACTCCACTCTGCTGACATTTTCCTGATTCACTCAGTAAATGCTGAGTATCTTTCCTTGAGTGTGGCACTGTTTTGGGCACTGGAGGAGCCCTGAGCAGAAGACAGAAGCTGTTCTTCCTGGGAATTGATGCCCAAAAAGGGCGGTCAAAGGAAGTTAGTACTCCACCCCAGCCAGTCTGTTCATTAACACCTTTTCTCTTCTGTGGTCTTCATATTTACACCTTTCAAGGGAAAGTCGGTCTTCCCTCTTAGCATCTCCCTGACCTCTGTATCTCTACACAATCTATTTGACAGGCGCATAAAGCAGAAGACTAGGGCTGCTGGCATTCCCTCTCTAAAACTCAGTAAGAAAAGAGGTCAAGCGGAAAATGAACAGGAGTCCCATATAGTTCAGAGAATCATAAATACAAACACAGGAAAGGATGTTCTTTCTAAGAACGTATATTGAAGATTTATGAGAACATCTTTGACCTTTTGCTCTTCCAAAATTAGGGCTTCCTCATAGTTAGGGTTAGTGAAATACATCTAAACAGGATTTCTTGAGTTTCATTGGTAAGGATGTGAAATTGTATAGCTTTTTTAAAGATCAAATTGGTAGTCTCTGTTAAAACCTTAAATGTGTATGTCACATGATCTCTCTATCCCCGTCTTAGAAATTCACCGTGGGGGAAAAATAAACACAAATATAACAGGGATGAAATGACTAACAACAGCCTCCGACATGAAACACCCCATGTAGCCTAATGGCTAAATAAAACTGTATATACTCAAAATACCATGAAGGACAAAATTTAGTACATGCATAGGGAATGAGTTTGCATAGATGTAGGAAGGAACTTGGAGGGCAATATTTAAAGCAAAAGTATATTTGTGGTTTAAAACAACCCCCAAGCCCGTCTGAAGACACTGCCTGACCATGATTATCTGCGGTGAAATGTGCCTTTTAGAGGGAACACAGGTAAGTTCTCACCCTTTTATACTTTTTTAAAGGAAGAAAGAAAGATAGAGAAAGAGAAATAAAATCATGAATAGTTTCTTCATTTTTTCATATGTGCGTCCAATTTTCAAATGAGTGAATAAACAAATGTTTTACTTTTATTATTAAAAATAAAAAGATCTCACCTACCGATCTTCTGAGTATTTGACAGACTAAGTGATTGAATGGGAAGGACCTTAGAAATGGATCTAGACATCTTCACTAAGGTAGAATGAACAAATTAGTTTATTTTTATGTCTTGTTGTTGTTATAAAAACTAATGTAAGTGCATTGCACCACTCTCCTTCAGGGAGCATTTGGTAATATTGGCTAACAGATTTGCTTGGAGAGGAGGAGAGCTGCTACCGATGTGATGAGATGGAGGCCCAGGATGCTGCCAAGACCTCTCCAAGGCATAGGACAGCACCCGAGGGCAGAATCAGAGATGGCCCATAGCGCCACTAGTGTTGAGATGGAGAAACGGTGGCCACTCTGGGCTTGTCTGTAAGTAGTTTCCTTTCAGCCTCTTTCCCTGTGAAGAGACAGTTTTCCTCTACATGTTTAAGATTGATTTATTTCATGTGTAGGAGTGTTTTGCCTGCTTGTATGTATGTACACCACCACATGTGTGCCTGGTGCCCACAGAGGCACAAAGAGGACATCAGATTCCCTGGCGTGGGAGTTACAGATGGCTGTGGGTCCCCCAGGAAGATCAGTAAGTGCTTTAAACCCCTGGGCCATCTCTCTAGCCCCAGTTCTTCTATATATTTAATATCCATTTTTTTTTAAAGTTTAAGATTTTGACATAATTTCCATAAGTCTTGTAATTAATGGGCCCTTAATATTTAACTCCTTTACTGCTAAGTGTTGGGGCTTTTTGTTTGTTTGTTTGTTTGTTTGTTTTGTTTTGTTTTGTCCTTTTTTCAAAATTGTAAGTGTTGGTGTATTTGTCCAATGTTTGGTGAGTACCTATTGTGTGCCAGGTCCAAGGTTAAGCCTGGAAGATAGATCTTCCTGAAGAGAATTGCTGATCAAGAGAGAAAGACTATTTTCCCAGTTTGTGACACAATCTGAAAATTGGTACCATTACATCGTCACCCAGTGCTGACATTAACTTTTTTTCCTAATTTGATTCTTGAAAAAAATGCAACTTGAATTTTGTTAAAGAAATGTTTAGCTCTTGATAATTATCTGATCTGATCAATGATCTTGTCCATCAAGGTCACAGGCTTCTGAGTGATTGTTATGAACCCTTGGTGTTAGAAAAGTGCAGACACAGCAGCATCTGAGAGGCGGAGGCAGGAGGATTTTGAGTTTGAGGTCAGCCTGGGTTACATAGTGAGACTCTGTCTTTTAAAAAAAGGGGGGGGGGACATTTATCAAAAGAGCGAGATGAAAGGACTCATTATATCCTCTAGCTAATATTAGGCACATATTTAAATTTTTTCTCTCCAGTCATCTGCCCAAGGAGATGAGATGGGACGAAGACACAGGGGTTATTGAAATGAGGCTGTGGAGAAATGGCCAAGCCAAGGACTGGAAAGTCATACCGAGGCATCTGATATCTGTCGAAGGACTACAGGGCCCTACCTGATTTGTCAGTGTTGACGGTAGACTCGGTTGAAATGCTTATCCATTAATTATGAGTCTGCTTTGAAAGCTTATTATGATAAAGGATTACTGAAAGGTGATGGATTAGGTCTGATACTCACTTTACTCAGTATCATACCCTCTCCTCCCTGGCCCTCAGAGTGCAGCTGTCGGCAGTTGGGGAGAAAAAGAGGAAGTCCAGGAACCATGTAAATAAGCATGGCCTTTGACTTCTGAACCTGCACCGCTTAGTGGGTCTTCGAGCACAGCATCATCTTCTTCCTCAGGCAAGAAACTGTAACCACCTTTCACGAATTCCCAGGTGAGAAACTGTAACCACCTTTCACTAATTCCCAGGTGAGAAACTGTAACCTCCCTTCACCAATTCCCAGCTAAGAGCAGAGATGGAGCAAAGAAGTGTGAACTGGGGAAGAAGTGGCTGGGGGAAATAGGTTTGTCCCAGGGGAAGTCCAGAAGAACACCATGGGTCCCTACTTCACTATCTTCCCAGGGCAGGAGGGAAGCAGATGCGAGCTTCCTTTCTCAAAAATAAGAGTGAGAGGTTTTACCAAATTTTCAAATTCTATTAAGTGATCCTAAAACCGGTGCCCAAATTCCTTCTACCTCAGTCCCACCTTACAGACTGTAACTACTGCCATGACCCCTGTCTTTGCTGTTCAGCTGAAACAGGCTAATATTTTCAAAGTATAAAGTTCTCCTTAAATACTGTCAGTCACTGTTGTCGTCAGCTGCATATGCTTTCTGGAATGAGTCTTCAGTTTCTTTTCCATACAAAGCTTTTTCAGATACACAGACATAACTAGGTTGCTATAAGAGTTTATCTAAAGGAAATACCCAGCCATGTTCCAGACTGTTGCACGTAGTGATGACCAGTGAACCACTGAGCTAGTAACCCACTATAAATAACCTGTGCACCCATCAATGGGAGAGTGATACCCTTTAATTATCCAGCACAAAGGAATAGAGCAATAAAAACAAAACCTGGCTATTTAATTCATAGGAAAGCATCTGCAATCATTTATTCAGATTAAAAATAAAAAAGATAGAACACCATACTTTTGACAACCCCAAGCTAAACTTTGGCATATGTGTCAATGTGTCTAAGAAATGTCTTGGCATTTTTATATTAAGTTCTTCTCTTCCGATTCCTTTAGGTCCTCTGGGCAGACAGAGTAAAAATCTTAGGCTCCAGCGTCCTGGATCTTGGCAGAGGAAGGGACCTCAGGAGATGCTTCAAGTGGGATGATTTACCCAGTCATTGCTAGTGAACAATCAAAGTCGCGCTAGGACCAAGTTCTGACCTGGCTACCTACCCCAAGACCGTATTCATAACACACAGTCAGCCACACACAAAATTGACATTGACGCTAACAGTGCCATAATCATCAGACAGGTTGCCGATTCTGAGGTCTCAACTGTGCCAGCCAACAGGCTCCGCTGCCTGTTAACCCATCGTGTTCCCTGTTGCCTTCTCCTCTCTCCATCCTCAAAGACTCTAGGACCCTGGCTCTAATATGCCCTGCAAGCGGCCGGTCCCTGGACTCCGAGAGAAGACGCTCCCTACCTGTAGGCGGGGAGACTGGCGATGACACGCAGGCGGTGCAGCCTGGCTTGTGACAGAAAATCAGCGAGTCCCCTAGCCTTATAAGCAGGCCCCGCCCACTGGTGTGAAAACCCTGCCCACATCGCTTCTGGAACCGAAGCCGAAGCCCAGCCCCATAAACAGCCTGTCCCACTGGATTTCTAGATGATTTCAGAGTCAACTTTGGGATAAGATATTGCGTTTACAGAAGGACGAAACTGGAGTCCAGCGTGGTGACGCGCGCCTTCAATCCCACTACTCCGAGATAGAAACAGGTACATCTCTGTGAATTTGGAGGTCAGCCCAGTTCACATAACAAGCTCCAGGGTAACCAGGGCTGCAATAGTGAGTCCCTGTAGTGAAAAACAAAAAAAACTATTTTTAAAAAACGAAACTAAAAATGAAAGTGAAACTTATCCTTCTTGTAAACCAGCTTTCCTAAAAGAAGTCATGAGGGAATAACTCAGAGCTGTTATTTGGGTGAAGAGAGAAGGTGTCTGGGGGAGGGCGCCTGTGAAGGTCAGGGGTCCACATCGGTTGTCTTCCTCTATGGCTCCCCACCTTTTTTTTTTTTTTTGAGAGAGGGTTTCTCCGACCCAACTTCGAGTCTGCAGCTGGCTAGACCTACTGGCCAGTGTGCTCCAGGAACCTCCCCTCTCCGAAATCCCCCTCCCCCACGGCGTTTCTCAGATAAGAAACATCACTGCTTGTATTTTGGGTGCTGAGGATCTGAATTTGAATCTTCCATGCGTGAGCAGTAAGTGTTGAAAAAATGAAACATGTAAAATCATAAAATCCGAGACTTAAATTTTATGTTCAGAATCCAGACACCTTAATAAATTACTATCCCATTTCCCACTTCTTTCAAGCCCCTTCTGGATACATGACCTTCTTGACATAACTTTACATAAAGAGTTACACAACATAGTTAACAACAGACAAATGACTTGGATTTTAATTCTAGAAAGTAGGTGTGTCTATATAATAGGAAACATATTTTTAAATCGTGGATTTGGTGACTTCCTCAAAGTTCCTCGACATAATGAAACTTCGGTTACCTTACCATTCAAGAACTTCTCATCTCAAACCGTGCCCTTTCTGAATGCTGTGGAGGATCTACAATCCTGCCACTCTCAGGATCCATGTGGGGAAGTCTCTTCTAGGTGAAGTGAGAAAGCCCTTCTGGGAACTGGAAATGTGGGCTTTTTCCAAGATGAAACCTTGGGAACTCCATAGAGTATGGTGACATCATTTAAGTATCTCACTGTTGGACCTCAAGGGCCTTCTTCATCCTTTGCTCTTCCCACATAGTCACTAAAACTGCAATCCTAAAGTAGTGCATTGAGTGAATATCGGGGTGCCCCTGACTTGGATGTAGCAGGATTTTCACATTCTCAAAGCATCTCTCCATTCTTTGAAGATGTTGGGGGTGATACTGCTTTAAGGACCTGTAGAGAATGTGGAACTCAATGTCAGCAATATCATTGAAACAGACTTTGGAGGCTCAGCTGAGATAGTCCCTCTTCCAAATGTCTTTTGAACCCCAATAGTGGAATAAAGTAGTCTTCCCAACTTTAGTGACTGACGGAAAATAAAATATAGACTTTATATGTAGAAATCCAGTTTAAACATGTATATGTGTATGTACATCTATACAGATGAACACGTTTCTAGTTAATAGTTCTTTTCTCTAAAAATGATAGCCAAGTCCCAGGACATATTTATGATATGTTAGTGTGGTCATATAAAAATTCAGTTCTATAAAAACTTACTCTAGAGACTCACAATTTGGCTAAGTTCTCTTAGTTAAATAATGATTTGAGTAGTGAGGATTAAGTCATAGTCCCTTAGTAGTTTCTATGATGTGAATTATTTTTAAAACTAGAAGGAGGAAGTGTTTTGTTTTTGTTTGTTTTACAAAAGCACTGCTTAAGGTCTACATGAATAGTCAACCGAGAAGGCACGGGTAAGGGAAACTGGGAATTAAAACCTGCTCTCAGCCAGCTGCTTGCACTGATTTGCATATGAGTAATCTGAAGAGTAGCTCCCTCACCTCTCTACCTGTCTCTATTCTTCAGACTTTTATTTTCCCATGATGTGGATCATGCTCCTTCACGAAACTGGTGTCCTCCAGAAGCAGAAAAGCAGGACGTGACTTTAATTTTAAAAAATTATTTTATCATTTCAAAATATATTGTGTAAGTCAAAATAGCCTAAGTAAGGGAGAAGTAGCCCTGAAAATGATTTGAGTTTTGTGATTTGGACAAAGTGAATAGAGAAACATTCAGACAAGAGAAACGCAGTGGCTAGCGGAGGTTGAAGAGTGGAACACACTGGTCATCTCTAATGTCACCATTGCCTGTTCATATCCCACCTACCCTACTCCTCTGGGGGAGATAAAAAAAACCTCCTCACTGCTCATGTTCTGCTTTGTTGATGATGAAGACTAACCATCTCAATGGTTAGGAGAGGCACAAAGTAAATTCTGGAGATAACCATGAACAATCTGCAGGAGGGCCGTACTCAACAGAGGGAAGAACTGGTGTGAACTGTGAAGGTGAGCAAGCTTGGCGAGTTCCTGGAGAGACTATCATTGTGGCTGGAGTCTAAACTGAAAGGTTGGCTCTCATCATCCCATGAAGGGTCTTGAGGGTTAAGGAGAAAGGTTGGATTTTTCTCTTTTAAAATATTTATTTCTTTAATGTATATAAGTGACCTGTCTTCAGGGACACCAGAAGAGGGAATCAGATCCCATTATAGATGGTTGTGAGCACGTGGTTGCTGGGAATTGAACTCAGGACCTCTGGAAGAGCAGCCAGCATTCAACCGCTGAGCCGTCCGTCTCTCCAGCCTGAAGGGTTGGATTCTAGCTGTAATGCAAATCCACTGGCTAGCTAGGCAGAGGAGTCATCCATCTACAAACAGCACTCGAACCAGCAGAAGAAGGAGGTTGAGGAACCTATGTTCCTAGACGCCAGGAGCTTTGAGGAGATTCTGTTATAGTTCAATTCCAACACTACCTGTGGAGAAGTAAAGTCACATCCCATAAGTCAAGGGTGAAACACCACAGGATGGACCCTATGGCAGATGCTAATCTTAATCTAGGCCTCTAGAACTTCCGATGGACTAGCGATGAATTAGGATTCCCATGACTCCCTCTGGCTTGTTTAATTAGAGTAACTCACAAATTGGGAGAAACAGTTCACCTATGTGAACCAGTTTATTGTAAAGGACATTATCGCTGATACAGATGAAAGTGTGCACAGGGCCAAGTGTGGTCAGTAGGGGCAGGAGGGCACTTCCACACTTCTCTTTGGGTTCACTACCCTCTGGGACCCCTCCAGATGTTCTGCTTGAACCTCTGGTTCAGAGTATTTCCATATTAATCACCTCAGCTTTCAGCCCTTCTCCCCTTTGTGGAGGACAGGAGTTGGGAGTGAAAGTGCCATGCTCTGACCACAGTTTGGCCATCCAGATGACAAGCTCAAATCCAGGAACTCAAAAGAGTCACTGCACTAGAACAAAGGCTACTTCCATCTCTCAGGAAAACCCAGAGAACTAGTAGCTACGTGGGTCACCAAGCACCCTTTTTAATGAGACAATTATAACGGGTTTTTAGGAGTTTTATGCCAGAAAATGGAATGAAAACCAAAAGTATGTGTGTGTATACATATACTGATATATATATATCTCAGGATATCACAAGTATTAGGGCAGACCATTTTATTTTATTTTTTAAATTTTGTTTATTTTATATACATGGGTGTTTTGTCTGCATGTATGTCTGTGTCACAAAAGGGTGTCAGGCCTTCTGGGACTGGAGTTACAGATAGTTGTAAGCTGCCATATGGGAGCTAGGAATCAAACCCTGGTCCTTTGCAAGAGCAACCAGTACCTTTAACTGGATGAGCCATCTCTCCAGCCCTAGATCTCAGAGTTCAGGGACTGTTTTCTGAAAGAGGAGGAGGAGGTGGTTATCAGAGGAGGAGACCAGGTGCAGTCCTTGGGACAGGAGGCTGAGACTTGTAGGTCGAGAACAGCGTCATGTGAATCGCACGGGTTCCAGGAGAAGGAAGTTAGCAGGGTTTAGTCAAGCGTACTGTGACATCACTGCTGAGTTTCCTGCTCAGCCGCTGTGCAGAGTATTTCCATACAGCTGAGGCAGGTTCAAGTCCACACCCTTCTCACTCTTCCCCAGTCAGGTTTCTGATTCTTGGAATGCTATGGGATGCTTCGGCTGAGCCACATGAAGCCTCATCTGACTCAGGTTACACTCTGAAGTATAACTAACTGCCCCTGCTCGGAACAGCTTTCCTTGACTTTCTGACCTTTCCTGTGACTGTTGCCTTCAGTTACTGCACTTCAGTGGCAATCCTTGACAGCCATAGCATCATTTAAAAAACAAAACAAAACCCATCAAATGAATAAGATGAAATGTGGCAATCACAGCAATGATTAAAAGTATCAGTTACAGCAAAACATGTAGGATTTAAAGATGTCAGACTTGGTTGTATACATACTAGACTATCCAACTTGTGGAATAGTCTTATGAGTTTTAGTTCCTGACATTGGTTCTACTTTAGAGGTGTTGAAATTGAGACACACAGCTCATGTAACTTGTCAAAGTTTACATGACAGGAAATGATACGAGTGGTATTCAAACCCAGAACTCTGGCTCCAGTCTCTGCTACACAGTGAACACACAGGTGTACAGTGAATTAGCATCCTTATTCATTGCCCCCACATTGTATGATTCTTCAGCCCCCTCAGGGCTTATTGTATGCCCCAGCAATTCTACCCCTACAAATACACTCAAGATAACTGAAAATATGTACACAAAACTAACAATGTTACTCATAATAGACCAAAATAGAACCATCCAAATGCCCATCGATTCTGAATGAACACACAAAATGTGCTGTAACCACATACTGGGCTATTATTTAGCCCCAGCAAGAAATGGAGCAGTGATTCATGCTACAATTTGTTTATTTAATTTTTATTTCAATCTTATATTTCAAAGTTATTTATTGTGTGTGTGTGTGTGTGTGTGTGTGTGTATACAAGTGCACATTCATGCACAGAGCACTTACAGATGTCAGAGGACAACTTGAAATAATGAGTTCTTTCCTCCCACCATGTGGATACCAGGAGGAAAACTGGGTCCCAGGGTGGTAAATCCATTAACCCACTGACCCATCTCACCAGTCCCCGGGCTATAACTTAGATGAACACAGAAAGGAGTGTCAAAGCAAAAGAAGCCAGTAAAAAGTCATCTCATTTATATGAACTCTCCAGAATAAGCAAGTCTTTGAAAAGATAGAAGATAAATTAAGATGGGTTCTATAGATTGGCTGCATGTGACATCGTCCATAAAGATAGGTTCTGCAGACGGACTGAGAAAAACAAGCTCATGATAAGGGTCTGGGGAGGATCTGGTGTGGTCTCAGCCACACAGATAATGGAAAGGGTATACCAGGCTATTAACCACCTCTGCTCCCAGCCTCTGGGCAGAAAACAGGTTATACATCTCTCTCTTTGAAGAGACAACCCTGCTTGCTTAACATTCCTGGTTTCTCTAGTGCTTATCTGTGGGCACAAGGACCTCTGTGCCTCCTAAGGTTGCCTTTCTCACCTTCTCTGCCCAAAGGAGGGCACGGTTTCCTCTGCTGAACATTCCTGTTGGGCATCCTCACCTAAATGCCAGCTCTCACCTGGCTTTAGTAACTACCCACTCTCCCTGGTCCCTTCAAGACTATAGGTAGCAGACACTCTGCTGTTTCCAGTCATCATCTACTGATGATACACGGGCAGAACACCTTGTCTGCATCTAAGTATACTTAGCCCTCGCAGCACGGTAATCAGATGACTTTAGTCTTACTGCAGACCCAAGTGACAAAGTGAGAGGCTGATGGTGACGGTGGGAATGGAATCAAGGCATGGTTCGTTTGCATGCATAAACACTATCAGGGATCTACTGCTCACTTCCCTTCAAGAACTTTTACTCTTGGTAACACACCCACTCCCACAAACAGGAATAAAGATACTGTTGCAATTTTCCCATCCGGCTAGTGAACAAAAAGTGTTCAAAATGAAGAGTCTAAAAGCCAGAGTACCAAGGACTGAAGCTGAGAGCATCTACACAAGCCTGGGAGGTCTGTGCCTGGAGGAGGCTAGACGCCTTCTCTATGGTGTGGCTTCAGCCAAGGTTAAGGCAGGGGCTCTTCCTAAAGGCTAGAGCCCGTGAAACGCACGCTGTTTTCCCAAACCCTTGGGTAGCAAGGATAAGAGTGCTAATCAGTCCTCGGGTGTTTCTTCAGAGGTTGGGAGCCTTACTCCAGACAGACATTGCTGGTAGGAATACGTAATATGGAAAGGGTGTAAGGTAATCTGGAAGTTCTGGTCACTGTTTTGCTTTTGTTTCCTGTTTACGTTTAAGCCATTTGATGGTGGCATTTTTACAGGATCGGAATGTTTTCATGCTGCTTCTTCGGCCTTCCCTCAAAATCATCCACTAGATAAGATCCTGCAGGTTGCAATTTGCGGCTCTGACCCGCCCCTCCCTCCTCCCGGCTCCAGGGGCCTGCACCGGAAGGACACCCCAGGCCGCGGGAATAGGAGCCATTGAAAGACCCAAGGGCCACGCTGATTGGCTGAAGCGCGCAATCCTCTGTCATAGCCAGCCAATCCCTAGGCTCTGCCGAGCAAAGCCCAGTCCTGCGACGATCCGTCAGGAGCACAGGCTAGAGGCCTCTGCAGTGGTCACCCTGTCGCGTGAGTGCATCCAGCCGCAGGGAGGGAGGGTCGGCTGGGCTGCGTGGTCCTGCACAGCTGCAGCTCCAGCTGGGGCGGGGGAGGCCTGGGCTCTGGCTTCTTCTGCTGATGCCCCGAGGCTGACAGGTATTGACAACCCGGATCTGTAAGCAAACGTGATTTCTCGTTAGCATTGTTACCAAGTTGGGAAAAGTCTGCAGAGTGTAATGGACAGGGAAGTAGGATGACCCTAGGGGGAAAATACGTAAGTGACAATAAACTGGCTCCACAGAGTCAGAGTGGAAACAGTGACAGAAAACACCCCCAGAGGCTATGTGCTTCTGGCTTAAGTTTGCTAGGGAATATAGCCTGGAAGATTTACTGAAAATGATTGTGATGTGGCCAGCCACAAATTCAGGTAATAAAGCAGAGCAGAAACCTGGATGGCAGAAGTCACGATTTTTTTTTTTTTTCTTTTTCCAAATCAAATCTTGGTTCCCAGGGCGACCAGAGAAAGTCTGTCTGGGATTTGCACCATCAACATTCCCCCAGAAACACACCTTTCCACAGTAATTTGAATCATGGCTCCGCAGAGCTGGAGCATTAACAAGCCCGCCCCGCCCCCCCCACCTCACTTCCAAACAAACAA